GCCGCTTCCGCTTCCGGGTCGCCCGCCGGCGGTTGCGGTGGTGAAGAAGGTGACCCCCGGCATCGCCATGGGCCGCCACTTCGGGAACCTGGCTCGGGTTCGCCATATCATCACCTACAGCTTGTCGCCTTTCGAGCAACGCGCCATCCCCAACGTCTTCTCGCAGGGGCTGCCCAACGTCTGGCGGCGGTTCAGCTCCCAGGTTTTCAAAGTGGCGCCTCGTGAGTATATAACCCGAGGGTTTATTGATTTTTTTTTTTTTTGTTTGTTTGTTTTAATTTTTTTAATACCCTCACGCACGCTACCGTGGGCTTATTGCAGCGCCTTTTTTTTCCTCTTGCAGCCTTTGTGGGAGCCTACCTCCTTTATTCCTGGGGGATGCAGGAGTTTGAGAGACTGAAGAGGAAGAACCCCGCTGACTATGAAAACGACCAGTAGCCGGGTTAATAAAGAGCTTCTTCCCTCATTGTATTATCACCTTGGCGTTGCTAAGCTTGTTCGTGTGACTAGAAGGGTATTAAGAGGGAGATAAGTCACGTCTAATAAACTCTTCTAATTTTGCCCCGTGGCTTTGTGTGAAGTCTGTGTCTTGAGATGCGTAAGGTGAGTAGCGTCCAAGCTCTTGTCTGGTTCACTCTGTACGGGGAGATAATCAGGCTAAAGGTCTGTGTGCTCAAACTCTTCTCTGTTTGAGCATTTCCTGACTTTTTGGCTCCTGTTTCTCCGAAACGTTTCTCAGTATAACTGCTGTAGCCAGGGCTGCCTTCAGCTGGAGATGATTTGAAATAACAGCTCATTGCTTCCTCTGTTTTCCCATCACTGGCCACTTCCTTTTTCCTCTAGCCTTGAGAGCTGTGAAAAAGAAATAATCCACCTGGTTTGGTATTGACCAAAACTGCACAGGCTGGCTGAGGGCTGAATGTGGACCTTGACCCCTGTACAGAGGCTGCTTCTTCACAAGGGGCAACAGGTACAAGGTGCGCTGGGAGAGGTTTTGTCTCCTAGGATTATAGAATGGTTTGGGTTGGGAAGGACCATAATGATCACCCAGTGCCACCCCCTGCCCCGGGCAGGGCCACCTTCCACCAGCCCAGGTTGCCCAAAGCTCCGTCCAACCTGGCCTTGAGCCCTTCCAGGGAGGGGGTAGCCACAGCTCCTCTGGGCAGCCTGTGCCAGGGCCTCACCCCCCTCACAGGGGAGAATTTCTTCCTTCTATTTTAATCTCAGTCTGCTCTTACTCAGTTTAAAACTGTCACCCCTTGCCCTGTCCCTACATCCCTGATCCAGAGTGGCCTCCCCTTTCCTGCAGCCCCTTTCAGCCCTGGGGGGCCGCTCTAAGGTCTCCCCGGAGCCTTCTCTCCTCCAGCTGAACCCCCCAACTCTCTCAGCCTGTCCTCACAGGGGGGGCTCCAGTCCCTGATGAGGAAATTTTCCAAGAGTGGTTGTAGACAATAGGCTGGGAAGGTTATTTAATCCCAGTGAAGTTTGGGCTAAGGGGCGATGATCTGTAGACGGGAACCTGACAACATGGCATTCCCTTAATCTAAGGAACTTGCTTTCCATGCTGGCACTTAGGCCTCCGTATTAAGCAATCACAGAAAATGATTGCTTATTACATCCGGATTTGTATTTACAACTTGTTTAAAACACAGTTCACTATTTTATACATTATCTCCCTACTTGAAGTAGCTTAAAGCGTAGTGTGCTCCAAACCTTACACATAGTTGACACAAAGAAGTTGGGAGTTCTGTCTCTGACTCTGCAACCTCAGCAATCTCCTCCCTGACAGGCACGGTGCTCGTGGGACGCATGTGGGAGCCAGATGCACAAGATCGAGAAGGAGGAGGAGGAGGAGGAGGAGTGAGCACCAGCAAGGTCTGTTTGCCGGCCAGTAATCTTAGACAAACGCTTCCCCTGCTCGTGCCAGTGTTTGTAAGGTGAGAGTAACAGCTCTTCCTAAACATTCTTTTCTCTAGGCTGTTGCAATCTCATTTTACAATGGAAAAATTAAGATTCCCCTTAATTACAAACGGCCCATCCGTGTCAGTGGGAGTTGCTGGCACAGTTTAGAAGGGGAATCGTGAGTTCCGCGGTGAGGTGGAGGCAGAAGCAGCAGGGATGGCTCAGCTAAAGAAACCAGAGTCTTGCCACCTGGAGCATCTGGGCTCCAGAAGACCCTTACAGCAGCCTCTTTGGGGGTCACCTCCCGAGAGATTATCTTGAACCACACATGAGATCCTGGGATGAAAAGGTCTATTATTTATCATGCACGACATACTTGTTACATTCCAAACCCCCTCTGAAGAGTTACTGCATCTGCTTTTTGAGTATCATGTGCCTGGAAAGGAAGGATAAGTAACTTCCTCATGACTCTTCCATGCACCAAGAATGAGAAGCAGGATCAAAACCATGATTCACTACTCCAGATCAACTTGATAAGACAACACTTACCCCCAGCTGACAAACTCAGCGCTGCGAACGTCGCGGAAGTTAAATGAGGTGATGGCTTTTGATCTGTACCATAGTACTCTGGGCTAACCACCCTCTGCAAATACACCATGGAGTTCTGGTAACGTTAGGTAGGTTTTAAAAAAAGGAACAGTTGGCACAAGTGGTAAGCTGACCAGACAAAGTACAAGTAGACGGGGAGTAAATCATTAGCCAGATAGACAGGCCTTGAACCAGATCACTGTGGCGGATGCTAACTTAGTAATTCCCACTTGCTCCAAGACGAACTTTGTTCCTGTAATGACTGACAGCTGATGCAATGATAAGAGAATCAAGTCTATAAAAATCTAGCTGGAGCTTGGGAAGTTCTATCTGGGGCTCGTCCTACCTCCTCCGCCCAAGGCCAGTCCTGCGGTCGGAGCGACGGCTCGTACCGAGAAGATGCACTGCTGGAGGATGGTGGCAGTTGTCCTGCTCTGCTCCCTGCTGCTCGGCCAGGTAAAGAGGCTGTTTAACGTGCTGATTCAGATGGTCAGGTTGTTCATAAAAACTGTTACGATTTGCATAAATAACTGGTAGGAGTTAGAGGTGATGGTAGAGCTCTTTTAGAGGATTCAATGTCATTAAAAAGTAGAGTAACTGCCTAGTGAACGCTGGGTTACTCTGAGATGTAATTTAGCAAGTAGTTCTGCCTTCCCACCCGAGATTAAAAACCAGTTAATTTTTATACTACTTTGGGGGTTAGGATACAAGCAATTACACTTCAAGAGCACATGCTATGATCTGAAAACGAGAGCGATTTCAAGTTCCTCACTTCAGACCGTTGACCTCAGCTCTGGAGCGACCGAGCACCCGCAGCTGCCGGGTGTTGCTGACAGTCCCACGATCTGTTTCAGACCCGCGGCGCTTCCCTGCACCGGCACCAGCCTGGGCTGGCGAGGCCGAAGAGGATGACCCCGTTCTGGAGAGGAGTCTCGCTGAGACCCGTGGGAGCCTCGTGCAGGGATAACAGCGAATGCGTTACGATGCTGTGCAGGTAACTCAGCCCCAGCGACGCTTTATGTGATATTCTGTAGGGGAAGTTCCCAGCGGTTCTCACCCCAACGAGGTAGGGAGTTAATTCTGTGCATCCAAAAGATGCATGGAGGAGGGATGAGGCAATAGATTTAGATCTCTTTTGTAAGCAGGGCAAACAGAGCAGAGTCCAAGTGCCCTCGATTACAAGCCTCCGTCCTTTCATTGCAACCCCAAATAACCTGTCTTTCCCAAGAACATCAGATTCGAGACAGCTTTTAGGGAATCACTTCAACACCCTAAAATTAATCCTTCTTAAAGCCAGTACTGTTTACTTTGAAGCATATATTAATTAAAAGCAGCACCGTACCCTAAATGAATCACTTTAAAGGTGATTGCTTGAGCTCATAGTTTAAAAGACAACTGAAATATCAAAAGCCATCTAGTTCTCATGAGCACCAGACACGAGCAAATCGTTCATCTGGTTAAACTGATTAGTTAAAACTGCTGCGTGGTGACTGCAGGGTGATTCTGGGTGGCACCTGCTGTACACGCAGCAGAATCACGGGGTAGAACAGATCCATGTTCTGCGGTACGTAGGGTAGGATAGGGGAGCAGGGCTGCTAGTTCGTGTGCGTTTGAAACGCATCATTTCCTTCTGCTGGTTAACGTGAGGGAGCTGTAACAGCAGCTGCAGGACAGAGGGATTTCGGCTGTGTATGACTTCTGCGCTGCTGCCTGAGCGTGCAGCCCTGCGCTTGGAGCTGTTACACGAAGCAAAGAACATAAAATGCATCAAGAGAACAGAATAGAAAGGTGAATACAGTGTGCACGGCTACACGAGCTGAATATGAGCACTGTTGGACAGCTGGGGTAGGAGGAATGCTGCTGAGGATGTCTGTCTGTCTGTCTGTCTGTCCACGCCCTGCACAGCCCGAGCTGCCTGTGCCTGAGGAGGTTTTGTTTTGCAGGAAGAATCGCTGCTTCCTCAGAACAGCCTCCGAGTGACCTGCCCTGCTGCACAACAGCCCCCGCTGTTACTGCTGACGATGCTCCACACCGTGTCTGGAATATTTATTGACTGCTCAAGAGCTAGGACAGTGAAGCGAGCAATAAATACACCGAACATTTCTGCCGTATGAACTGATAAAAGGACTTCGAAGAGCTCGAGAGCGTTTCCCAACCCAGGCTGTGCCGCTGCAGCGCACGCTTCAGGATGACTCTGTGGCCAAGCTCAATAAAAGGACTCTGCATCTCCTGTTGGGTTTTGTTTTGTAATGGTTTTTATTTTTTTACGGTGCGAATTAAAAATTTATATTCAGCAAACCACGCTGGTTTTCCTTGCATCCTGTGAGCAAAGTGCATGGCAGGTCCTGCACCAGACCCGCTTCGGGGCGAGCGGCTGAACTCTTATCAGTCCCTCAGATAACGGCCTGCCAGCAGGAGGGAGCAACAAACTGATACTACCGATGGCATTTTCAGGATCCCAAATATACCCAGTGATAACCAGAAGGAAATGTTTTTAATTAGTTCTAATCCCAATTTACTTAAATGAATGACCTAGACTGAGTTTGGCCACTGAAGTATCTACTCGTCTAAAATATTCTAAACCAAACTGTTCAAAATGCAATTCTGACCTGTTGTCTGTTAACTCTGAGGGCTGAAAGAAACAAAGCCGCTTCTGATTAGATAAGGACCAACAAGTCGGGGACACAAGCACCAAACGGCGTCTTCCTTCCGTTACGCGCAGAGCGCTAGGGTCAAAAAAAAAAAAGAAACTCCGCTTAAAAATGCGATACCAGGGAGGAGAGCGCCCGAGATAAAGCAAGAGATATGAGCACGGTGGTTTTGAAGTTTAATACAGAAAATCTATTTGATATTTATTAAACTTAGTTTCTCCAGTTACAGTTTTGCATTGTACAAAGCATTTTAATGACACAGTAGTTAAAAAGATCTTTACAAATTGAAATGTGATACCCTTTTCTCCAAATATTTTAATTGCCATAAATTTGTTTAAAAATACACATTAAACGCATGTTTCAGACACTAAACTTTCTATAATCTCAATACCACAAAATACATAGAATATACTATACAGATGTGGAAAAAATCTAGTTAGTATATAATACTTTGCTCACCATTAACAGCTTTATTACGTGAAATGCACATACTGACTTAGAAATCCTAATTTTGAGCCCCAAAGTACCCTTTGAAATTTCAAATGTATTGCAACAAATAAAATCACAGTTTGTTTTTTTCTTTTTTCAGGTTTTGGTTGAAGACAGATGCCTAAATATTTTAATAGAAACAAAATGTAACAACATGGACTTGTCATGTACAAAGCATAAAACAGAGACATCCCATTAGTTACTAACAGTACCTTTCTGTATGATTAATAAGGGCTTCATTTATAAGTGACAGGTTAAAAGTTACCTTCCCCCACCCCCAAGCCCTCCCCCAAAAGAAAAACCCTTCTTCACCAAATAATAATTTCAAATAAGATAAAGGATTTTTAATAAATATATAAGCACTTTATCCTCCATATACAAAATTTCTTAAAACAATTTTAAAAGGGGGGGGACCAGATACAAATGTCAGGAACTGTGCTTGCAAAAGTCATGCCTGGTCCTTAGAGTTGAGTTTTCGGATGTGTAATGCCAACGCGGCCCCGCACGGCCGCTGCGGAAGTACTGTGCACCCAACCACACCAACGATTAGGGTTGCATATAAAAACTGAAGCCAGGGAACTTTGCACCCCGATTCGCCTCTACCCGCTCCGTTAGCACGCGCGGAGAGTGACACCGGCCCCGACACGCTGAGTTTCCAGAGGAGGTTAAGACGGGCGAAGCGTTTCGCTGAGGGGAGGTGCCCCGCGCCCCGCCACGCGGTGGGTTTGCTCCGGGGGTGCCCGAGGGGAGCTGGGCAGGGAGCTCGCGCTGCCCCGCGCCCGCCCCAGGGGGACTGACCGGCCCCAAACGGCCGCCAGAGCAGAGCCCGATTCCTCGGACAGCAAGGGAGCCGGACAGACACCGCGATTCCCTGATTGTTTGAGCTGACGTAACCTTCCTGCTTAGGAAATCTGTCGCCTGGAATAGGTCTGGATTTGTCTGAGTTGGCTAGCTAAAGCTTTGGCTACTCTTGACGCTTACAGATGTCAAGTGTTGACTTTGTTGCGTGGAAACACGGGGTTTTCCAGAACACTGATTCATCAGACGGAGTAAATTTAAACCCTGACCAAAGTATTTGTCAGAAATCGAAGAATTTGGAAGCTGTTTACTCCCCAATGGGCAATTCAAACTTGACTTGCTCAGGCCCTTTTGTATCTGCCTTAATAGAAACACTGCAGTGACAGCAAATATCTGCTCGGTAAATGAAATATTAAATACAGCAAAGGTAGTCTCTCTTTCCAGCAGTTTGCCGTTTTGGCAAACTACATAATTATCTGCCTAAGGCTTTATTTTACTTGCCCCAGGCAAGCGCTACATTATTTCCATAAAGTACTGACTCTCTGTATGTTGGGGCCATTCATAAATACATTTCAGGGCTGGTTTTTTTTTTGTTTTTTTTTTTTCCTTTTTTTCCCCTCTTGTTATCACAGCAATCAAGCCTCAGCAATCTAAAGGAATATACATTGCACTCCTGTATAATATGCAATATTTATCACCAGTAAGATGGCGATTCAGCACTCAATAAATAATATATCAATATAGTCAGTTGCACCATAATCTAAAAACAAGTATAACATATACTTTGGACAGACTGAGTTCATATATATATACATATATATTAAAAGACACATACAATACAAATTGCATACTGCCATCAAAAGCCAAGAAGAGCCATCCATACGCTCTGCTTTATGGCTAATAGTTTCAAATCAAAATAAAAGTCTTGGGCTGTTTTACTCTGGTGTCCTGAAGATTTGTTTAAAATTATAAACGGTTGCACCTTATCACCTAGGAACCTGCAAGTTTGACAGCAAATTCAAATAGTATTGATATCTGAGCAAGCCTAGTCTGATTAAGCCTTTTTTCTTTTTTTTTTTTTTTTTTTTTTTTTTAAAAAGATTCACCAACTGGGACCGCGTTCAGTGAGGGAATTAAAATTACAGCGTTGATATGTATTTCGTATACAATCGTCCAGGGAATCATTGAGGAAGGCAGGAGTTGGGGATTCCCTCACCGTTAGTCACTAGAGCGACGCGCGTTAGTACTGGAGTGACACGTAGAGGTACGAAAGGGCAGGTTCAGAGCGTTCGCCTGCACTTGGACAGAGGGATGGAAGCCTATTATGTACTTGCATTTTGTTTTAGCTATGGAATCTGACAAAGTACATCACTTTTGTCTCGGAAGCAATGGTAAATCCCATGTGAAGATATGCTTTGGGAAGTGCAGAGTTCAGATTTCCCTGTTGGACATCGCCACAGACGCGTAAGGCGTTTCCTCCCGATTACCAAAGACCACTGCATATCTCCCGGACAGGTGGAAGACCTGGGACAGCACTCTAGAGGATATTCTACTACAAAGTACACTGTTTAGGTGGGACACTTTCAACCACTTCAGGTCCACATTTTGACACGACATAACGAGTCTTCCGGTCGTCTGAAGACAATTTTTTAAGATCCACTGATCTGGGGATAAGCGATACATTTTTAAGAGACCAATTCAGCGTGACACCAAAAGGTATTTGTGGGACTCTAGTTAAGGAAAAAAAATTCCCAGAGATGAGACCATTGCTGCTAACAGTAATGGTAACTGTGCACAAAGGAGCAAGCCAAAAAACAGCCATGCTGGCTAGTGCAGCACTACACAAAAAATAAAACTATGAATGCAACTCTTATGAAGGTTTGTTGGTTTGTTTTGTTTTTTTTTATATATATATATAGCGTCAAAAGTGTGCTAGGCACTTTAGAGTATTAAAGGAAAAATAGTTGACAGTGTCCCATTAACCAAGATGCGGAGTTTGAGGGTACAGAGTTCTGTCTCGACCAGCAAACACTAACAGAAACGTGACCTTGCACAGTGATTCAATAAAAAGGATGCTCCAACAGACCTGAAGAGTAAATTCAGCTATCACGGAAAAAGTCACAGGTCTGTTAACCATGTATCAATTCGTACGTAGCAAAGCTTTTCTGGAAGTACAAAACACGCTGGAACGCAAAGGAAGCTCTACGAATATGCAGCTACCTTTTAGTAGGTTACTAATTTGCAAAACTTCTAAACTCTTAAAGCCCATAGGACATACTGCAGTACTAAGTAGCGTAGAATTCTATTCCTTCTCTCGAGGTTGCCGTGATTTTGGCACTTAACTACAACTACACAAAAAATTTAGTGCAATAATTTTCCTGAACATGCACGTTCATATCTGGTACAGAATAAAGGGTTAAATGGGAGAGAAAACAAAGCAGCATTCCACAATCTCACTCCAAAGGATTCAGAGTTTGACTCTTCAAAAGGAGACCACCGCAATGAGAAGTCAGTTTGTGTGACAGACGCTAGTACTTTTCAAAAGGAAATGGAATTTTACCAAAAGTACTGCAGAAGACCACTGCATACAGTATACCTGGTCCTGCTGTAAGACATCTTGTAAACAGTTCATAAAATCTTCATCTAAAAGTAAGGCATAAGGCACACCAGACATGTTAGGGGCACTAAGCAATACTGAAAGCAGTAGCATTTTAAACCTTTTTACTCAGACAAGCACCTTACGTGGAAAGGTACTTTGGTTTACACTTTTTGAGAGCGGTCAATTGCAACTCCACGAACCCTTTTCCGTTGCGCCAAGTCGCTCCCTTGCGAGTATTATGCTCCATCAAACATTAACGGGACCTTCATTAACACGGGGTAAAATACGAGTTTTTAAATCCGTTCTGCATCAAAACAGTCACTTCCCTGTCATAGCAGGTGTGCTCCCACCCCACGATGGCCGTTGCGCTGTCATCCTGTAGTGTCCATTACCTATCAGACCCTAAAAGGAAAACATGCACCTCGATTTCTGCTTAAGATTCCTGGTTTCTCAGTCAATGGAGAAGATGCAAGTGACAGTTCTGGTAGGAATTTAACTATCGTTGGGTTGTTTGGTTTGGTTTTGTTGGGTTTTTTTTAAAACCACAAAGTTCACTGATGAACTTTAAGTGTCAAAAAATGACAAGCACAGAAACAAAATGTATTTTGAACGAAGAGATGCAAAAAAGCACAAGATTGTCCTTTCCAGAAACCTTTCCTGTATGCATCGCACCTATCAGACTGAAGTTCATTCCTACACCATGACTTCAACATCACATTAACTGCAAATTACTGTAATGTTTTGTGATTGTTATAGTGTTAATTGATGTTTTGAAACTGCCTTGAAAACAATCCAAGCCAGATCCAGCTAAATACTTTTCCATATAAATTTCTTTATAATTCATTTAAATGAAGTATCTTAATACGTAGAAGAATATCTGGAACTTTTCTATTTAGTACAAATTCTGCAATAATAAATCTGTAGTTGTCATTTATTAGTTGACTCATAGGCATTAGGCATGAAAAGTATGGTGTCCCTACACGTTAGAACCTATCAACCCTAATTCCTTTTACAGGCTCTACCACCACAAGACATTACAGAGTAACAAAGCTCACAGAAGTACTTAAATAAAGTGTCTATGTTTAATTTCTGCTAAGTACTCGAAAGGGTAAATTTAGGGAAGAAATAGCTAAAAACTGCCCCAAACTGGGCTTTTCAAAATTAAAAAATTAAAATAAATAGGAATTTAAACTGACTATTTATGTATTATGACTGGAATTCCAATGATCTATCCATGACAGATCAGCAAAACTACACCTTTATATGTAGCAAATTTTAAAATATTTAAATAACTTAAACCGGGAATACTGAAGAAGTCCATTAACCAGATGACTTGGGGTTAAAACACAAAACACAAATGAGGATGGGAGACGTGTAAGCATTCCTTGCTCTTAGTGTCAACTAAGCAATGTGTTATGGCAGTCTTCCTTATTGACATGACACAGTGTTGTGGAGATAAATCAGAGGCAGCGAGAAAAATGTGTTTGATTTTCCATTCCTTCAGTTCAAAATATCACTTGGCATCCAGGCGCAACCAGTGTAATCCCTGACGGGTGTAACGCACTAGGTCTGTCATGATGCTCGAGTTAAAAATCAGAGGGCCCATAACTTTATCCAGTTCAGCAAAGAACTCTGAAACAACAGAAGCACAAGTTAAACCATGCACCTATGGGAAATATCACGGCCAACCCCCATATCGTTTCAGCACGAATCTTTTACATTAAGATAGAAGTAATAAAAGATGGCTGAATGATGGAAGAATAAAGTAAAGATTAAAGGAAAAAGGCCCTTTCTAACCCAAGTCCTTTACTCCTTTGCAGACGACTGGTTGGTTAGAATAGAGTACAGTTAAACGATTGTAAAACTTCTTTGGCCTTCCCCCTCAAATGTGTGTTTCACTTAAGAACTTCAGAGATGGAAACGTACCAAGTTCCTCTTCCTACACTGAACATCTTATAGAAAATGCAACACTTTTTTTTTTTTTTTTAACCACACTGCTATTAGACAACGCTACATCTCCAACACCTCCCTGACAACCAAGACAACCAGCCCGGGGTATCACTGTGAGCGGAGGTGTAACTCTCCATCTTTCCTTCGCAGAGGACCTGGTTAAGCATCCTGTGCACCACTAAATTCAACTCCAAAATTCAAAGCCCGTGAGCGTTTCAGCACACTCTGGTACATCCGACGTCACGACCCGCTCGTGCCAGCCCTCACCTTTCTGCTCTTTAGACAGCTGTTCGGCTTGGTCCCAAATTTCAGTGGCATAGAGGAAGTTGGATGTAACTTGGACGTAGCTGGCTGCCATCTGATGGATCCTCTGGGGGATCGTCACCGAAGACCCGCTCCCTGAAGGGTTGGCTGCCCCGGAAGAGTAATTTCCTGAATTCCCTGGCGACAGCTTTGGAGAGACTGGAGACGGCATACCAACAGGCTTGCTGCTTAGCCAAAGAAAAACAGTCCGTTGTAAATGATTATATTTGTGTACTTTAAGCAGATCATGCTGTAAGCTGCCCTCTAAGACCTCTCTCCCCACATCTCAGGGTGTGAGATGCCAAAGCACTCCTGCTTTACACAGCAACAAGTCGGGATTTGCCCCACAACAGACGAAATGGATGAGCTGGTGGCAACTGCTGAGGATCCTCCAACTCTTTACGTTTTAGCTTCACACCCAGAACCACCAAACCTCATCACCTTTCAACTCAATCAAATCTTAAATTCACTGTTTAAATAAATTGAACCTTAAAGAATAATAATGAAAATATTACAAACTACCTGGTAACTATTCTGCTGTAATATTACACTCTCAGGTAACACGACGCAAATCGGAATTGCCCTCCTAAAACTCAGAGTAACCTATCAAAGGTCCATTGTTGGGTTTAAAAGAATAAAAGTCTATTGTTGTACTAGGGAACAGACAACCCTGAAAGTACTTGTAACCATCTGGGCTTGCAGCATTAGTAAAGCCATTGTTTGGAGGGAAAAAGCATTAAATAAAACACAACGAAACTCACTGAGATAAGTAACTTGTGTGTTAGTAACACAATGACCCTTTTTTTTTTTTTTTTTGGTTGCAACAAGGAGCTGCTGGACACTCTCTGCAGAGCACCATCACGAGCAGCAGTCTTCCAAACCTTCTATCAGAATCACAACCAACCAAATCCAAATCTCCACCCTTAGAACAATCACCCCAACACTCTACTGAGGGAGAAGCTCCTCTCCGAGTGCCCCAGGCACACAGTTTATGTAGAAAACTAACCAGAAGTCAAGAAATACCAGTAACAGCTTTCACTACTTACCTTCCCATACCAGGTGATGGTGCTTGAGAATTATTATAGGAATTCTGTTTGAGGGAAAAAGAAATTTGTCACCCAGTTTATGTTTATACTTTAATTAGTTAGAGTTTATTTGGTTATTTCTGATCAAATTTTTGTCGTTTTTATTTTAAGCAATAACCAACATTCTAAATAATATCAGAGTAAATTCGAATTTGGGACAACATCCTTTTTTAGTGATGACTAAAATGCAAATTAAGGGATTGTTTTAGCAACACAAAGAAGGGCACTAAATATATACAGGACTGGAGTAGTCCTGTGTTCTAACCCTTAAATCCCACTCCCTCTTGTGAGAGCATTTTGGGTTTTTCAGCCCATTAACAGGAAGAAATTTGTTATTACTGGCACTGAACAATTAAAGATGTCTCAAAAAAAATCTGACAAGCCTGCTTCCTCACAGTTTGGTAGTTGGAAGTTTCAGAGAAACCCCGTGACACTACCTACATACCTCCAAGTGATCCTTTGAAAATCTCAGTCTAGATTAAGGACTGAGTAACGTTACAGAAGCATATTTTTTCTCAGCTGCAACATCTTGATTCAGAGAAATTCATCCCAAGGACATCACTTGATGTCCTTCCCCTGACAGCACTTTTAAAACAGTTGCACAGCAATTTAGATAAATTCGCTGGTAGCGGGGAGGGGGGTGAGGGGTGTAATTAGAAACAAACAGCCCAATGCAAACAACAAAAATTCAGACAAGCCAATTTGGTTTTGAATTAGAAGTTGGCTCTGGTGCCAGCTTTCGCACAGGCGGAATAGCTGCAGCCCATGTAACGCACCCCGAGATCCTGAATTCCCTTAAGCTTAAACATGAAAGCGAAGTTTCAGCTTGTTCTATCTGCAGCAAGAAAAACATTTTCAAATTCTCCTTGAGGCCTCCCAGATCTAGTGAAGAAAACAAAGGCTAGGTCAAATTATTCATAGAGAGCTACCATGCTTGGAACTGTAGGGCCGTGACAGCCGTGCTCTCTCTTCCCAGCTCTAAAGTACTCAACTTTAATTGACTTTCAATATCCAGTTCTAAATTGGGTATATTCCAAGTTCACATATCTGAAAATCAGATTGAGGAATTAAGTGAAGCAGACCTTTAATCTGATGAGGTTTTAGTATTTTAAGAAAATACATATGCAATTACCTTCAGATGTTCAGTCAGAGTTTTAGAGTATTTCAATGCACTTTCCTTTTTCAGTTTGAAAAGCCTCAGGTATAGCAGAGACTGGCACCGCAGACTGGCCAAAGACAGAGTAACAGAACAGTCAGAGTTAAAGTCAAGTTTATCACAGCTGAGTGAAGTTCAAAAAAATCTAGCAGCTGCGTTTTTGAAGCTTTCTCTGCTAATTCTCAAGTTGCAGGTCTACCGAAAAAAATATCCATAAAACACCTTTAAATTCTCAAGGGAATAAAACCAGCTTTGTGTGCCTTCAGCTGAAACTGCAGATTTAGTATCTTGCTGATAGAATCAGTTCCCAGTTCTCAGAACAGGAGACAACACCAAGTTACCCCCCTAGATGGGTTTCCTTTATTTTCACTCGTGTCAGGACACACAGAGTCCAACGCACTCTGCCACGGCCTCCCCCTTCTGTTCCTCCTGACACCGGGTGGTTCTGGCCCCTACCCCTGCTGCAGCCATTTCGTTAGTCTAAAAGGCCGGTGACAATTCCTTACGGCCAGTCCAAATTTTGACTTATCGCTGGGTGAGTACAGAGGGAGGACCCCCCCCATCCTTTCTGCTGTTACTCCTTCATATTTCAAAATCTCAGCCCTCGTTGTCAACATCCCCTCTGCCCCAATTTACAGCAATCAGCTACGCAGCATTAAGCTTTACTCCTAATTGGAAAACTCATAAATTTGGTTCAGAAACCCCTGCGAGCTCAGTGTAATACAGCATTTCACGTAGCTAAAACATCCGAAATGAATCAGTGCATTGTATTAAGTTGAGAAGACACATACCAAAGCACTGCCAGCCTTTTATCTGCAGCCGTAGCATCCGGTGCCAAGTAATTCTTCAGTTTCATAGTGTATCTACAAACAAAAGACATCAAGTAAATAACACAAGAAAGGTGACAGTATCATTTATCTACCACAACACACTGCTGTCCTTATGAATTTCTAGTTTCAACTGCCTTCACCATTTCAGGAACCTCCCTCCGACCCTGAACACCACGCTGACTAGATAGTAATTGCAGTAATTTTGCTTCTCATGTTGTAGAGAGACTTCACGAGCCTTAAGAGAAAACATCTCATGAAAACACTTTACGCCTCAGCAACTGGAACTAACCGGTAGGTGATGGAGAATGATGAGAGATCTCAAAAACTGGCAGCAAAACTTTAGTAAATCTAGAAACTCTGATTTCCAGACCTCTTCCCCACCCACTTGACTTTTGTACGTGCTTTGCAGTGCTTACTTGATTAATTCCACAGTTTCTGAATACATAGGGAACGGGGACTTGGATTCCTGAGCATTTTTCTCCAATGCATTCCCACACTCGATGAACGACACTACAGCATCTAGGTAGTACACAGCCTTCTCAAACCTGTCAGACTGAGGAGATTGGAAAAAACTTGTAATGACAAAAGACAAAGAGGAAATAGAAGAAAGCTCCAGTCCAGAAGGGCAGCAAAACGCCAAAAGCAGTAAACAAACCCCAAAACAATACACAAAGCGGGCGAGTATTGCAGATTTACTTACCAATGCATCTGCATTATGTTTTAACTTCTTTGCTTCTTGCAAATAATGATCGGCTGAGTAAGTCCTGTAACAGAAGACACAAACTTATGGACTCAGCCCCACCCAAACTGCAGATCCTTTGGTGACTGAAGTTTCTTAATGTTGCCAAATGTCATTTTTTTTGTGTCTAACTCGAGTCACAGGAGCTACGCTGTGATTAATCGTAAAAAGGTGATAAAATGGTTAACTAGTATGAGTAGTTACAGTACCATAAAACTGTTACGAATAGTTTAAATTTAGTTCTCTAGTTTCAGGTGCTCACTTCCAGAGTTCTTAACCAGGAAGTTACTTTTGCATTTGGTATAAAGATAATTTTATCTGTAAAATTAATTTAAACAACAACGAAGAGAAATGCTTTAGGAGCAAGCATTGCGCTGGGATTTGAGCTGCTACGAGCGAAACCTAAAGTCTGCACAAGACGGTAAAATATTTGTTTTTACTTTCTCCACATTTAACAACAGAACGACCCCGAGCTATTTAAGTGTACTGCGTGGTCCTTCCATGCGCGGCAGGAATGTTCAGGGCAGGCTGCAGTTCCTCCTCGAGGACTGTGAACTGCCTGCCAAGTGACCGGCCAGGGAGCAGCCAGGCAGCACAGCACCGCGCAGCGCTCCGGCTCCACTTCACAGCTTCTGTGAAGCAAAACCACAGCTCATCTCCGCAGGGAGCTGCCTGTGCCCCGGGACTCACAGCCCCGCAAAGGGAAAAGCACCTTTGGCTGTTCTTACCTATCGTCAAAAACAAGTTTTGCTCTTCTTGACTTTGAACTTTCCGTAGACTGGCCAGACGCGGGAGGGCAGTTTGATGAATTGTTCAGAATCTTTTCCTGAAAGGAAAATTGTTGCCAAATGATAAAGAACAGTTGAATCTTCTCTGCCTTCAAGAAAAGCATTTGTCTAAGTTTCTCCCATGACTTAGAGGCTCTGCAGCTCCTTTAGCTGCCATTCACCACAGAGTGTAACACAGCATCCACGAGGCTTTCACCTACTGCTGGCGCAGAGGAGGACGCAGAGGCTGTAATCAAGCTCCTCACTCTAATACTCTCCATTAGAGGAAAGAATGCGGCCAAGGCTTTCTAGACACACCCGGGTCCAGGAAATCCTTCCCTGAATCTCCCCCTGTCACTGTTTCTAATCCTGTTTTTCCACTCTAAAAAACAGATTATGAATGTTTTTATGATTTCTCATTTCTGTCAACAACACGCTCTGCTGAATGTCTTTGCCTTGGGGAAAAAAAAAAAAAATTGGAAGGATAAACATCAGGGAGAGAAACTGGCTGTCTTCACAAGACAGTGTCCTTGCTCCCCTAAAATGTAAATGGCTCAACATGGCACTTCGGGCTAAAGACTGGACACCACAAACACGCTGTGAAGCACAAACGAATCCATTTTTAGTAGCTAAACAGTATAAAACAGCTCCCCAGCTTCATCTCTGTCTTCCGCTCCTTGATTTATCGTGACCAAAGGCCACCTACAGAGATGCATTTCACAACCTACATTTATCAGGTTATTGCTAAGCGGGAGGATCCCGGAGTTGCAAGGCACCAGGTTTGCACAGCGATGTCCTATCTCCCGTTGTAACGCAGAAACAATAATAAAACACGCAGCACAAGGCAGGGAGAGCACAGAATACTTTGAGAAAGACAGGACTAAGCATACGTGAAGTATAAAATGATAAAGACCTCACAAATTAACAACTGGCTTAGGGACGTTTCTACGCTGATAAATAAAGAAAGGGCAAAGCCTCAGCCTGCAAGGTAAATTCACTATCTGCAGTTCCTGGAGATGTCTTTTGCAGCCACCGGCACACACAACCTGCCAGGCTTCTAAAACCTCCTGGTACTGGCCTCTGAACTAACACAGCACATCTCCCAGCTCAGATACTCATGAACTCCACCCTGATGACTAAGTTACTTTCTGCCCATTGCTAATGTCTATTTGCTCCTTTACTCCTCCCCAAATCAATTATCTTTCCCAATTATTTTTAGACTTTGCTTGTAAGGTTTTCAGAGGCTGTAAATCCAACTCCTGAGGTTCAGCAGCTGCTTAAACTGGAGTTTTCCATCGGAGGCTTTGGGGCTTTGCAGGCAGCCCCACCAGCACACTTGGAATCCCAAAGACAAAGGTGAAATCCCTCCCAGTGAAACGTATTGTACCCAACAACTGGCTGTACCATAAAATCTGCTCATCACAGGTATTCAACAACACTCTCTCAGATGTCCTCACAGGCTAATTTCTGTCCAGCAAGTCACATTTATATACTGATGAAAAAGCATATTAGAACTTGACTTGACTTACAAGTGTCATTTTCCTATAATATTTTTAAGTTTTGACATAGCTAAATATCCTTCTAACCTAAATACCTTAAAGACCATTTTCTGCACCATCTTTCTAACTCCACTCCAGCCACACAGAGCTCTGTACATTCCCAAACTGGAGTTAAAATAATCTTTCTGCAGTCCTACAGAGTCACAAAATGAGAGCTACAGCTTTGCATCCTAGCACTGAGCGGGGACACCGAGCTCCTGCTCTCCTTAAAAATCAGGACAAGATCTCTATCTTCTCTGATGAGACAAGAGTAACCTCATTGTTCCATCTCCTATTGTGCAAACAGCTTTCTAGTGACATTTCTTATTAACAAATTAAACTCTAAATAAGCAGCATCAGTAATCAGAAGACGACTAAACACATTTCACTAATTAACATAAGAATTTGGTAGGAATAAGCGTTAATATTCCACAATCCTTCCCAAGTTATTTTCTAATTTATAGACTTCCAAGGCACTTAAGCACTATGACATGAAAGAACACATATCTAAAACTAATTATGTTTTAGCTTGAACTGCAAATTCTTGTTTAGATCGCACTGAGCATGTCAAACTGCAAAGAAAACAGGCTTAAGGCATTTACAGAATAAGCCCTTTACCTTGGTTTCTTTAGCACTGCTAGAACCCTTCCCCTCCGTCTTCTTTTGTTTGGAAGATGAGCTGCTTTTACTGCCGCTGCCACTCTCCTTGCTAAGGTTGCTGCTGGACTTTAAGGACGACGACTGACTGACCGTCCTCTTCCGGGATCCATGTTCTTGCTTGACATCTTTCTGCAGGACTGGGGCAGCAGGAGATGGCAGTAAGTCCTTCTCTTTAACAGCACTTGGCTTTGAAGACCTGGAAAAAATTAACAAATTCAGGTTTGGGGTTTCTTTCCTTAAAAAAACCCAAAACCAAACCCAAAGAAAAAAAACAAAACACTACTATTTAAAAAAAATATATATATTTTTAAAAAAAACCCCAAGATTTTTATTGTTAGACCTAGCAAACTATATATGGAGAAAAAGAAAGAGAATAATCCTCTTGGTGAGTAGGTTTCTATGAAGCCAGATTGAACTCGTTTTCACCATTTTATTTGTTCTGACCTGAAAACACAGTAGGCAAGTTCTAACCATAAAACCACATCCCTACAACAGTTCTTAAAAAAAAAAACAAAACACCCTAAAACACTTACAACGTAAGAAATTAATGCCAACGTTAGCGCCAGCCTGTCTGTTGCAGACTAGTCAGCCTAACAGCTCAGAAAAAAAGATGGCCCAGATAAATGTTCTCTGGAACCCAGGAAACAGGAAAGCTTTTTCAGCGTGGCCTTTCAGTACACTCTTACCTTGGCTGCTCTCGGGCTATTTCTGGCTTCCCGTAATAATACTTTCTACACATTGCTTTTATAAAATCATACAGTTTCATTTAATTAAATATCCTTCAGATAACTGCACTGGCAATCAAGCAAATATCAGAAATAACAGGCAAAAAAAGCGCATAATCAAGCTAAAAATGCATCCATTCATTCTACATCTGTTTCCTAACAAATAATAAGACACTGTTTAATTCAGAATGTGCAAACAACTTTTCTAGCATCTGATGTGCTGCAGCTTCTCACATATTTGTAATTTGGCAATTACTCCACAGCAATATTTTCCATGACATAATTAGACTGGTTTTCAGTTGCTTGATCTGAAATAGCAGAGTTTTAAGAGGCAGTGGAAAAAAACCCTTACTCTTTCCTGGTGATCAACACTAACCAGGAAATAAATCAAATAAAAGTATAACAGCTCTCACAAAAAGCGTGGAAAATTACAGAAATAGCGTACAAGTAAAGGAGTATCAAACAGTGTTATTGATTTGCTCATTCTGTATCACTTTGCTTTTGTGTCACTCATGACACACCAACCCTTCACATGAGGGGTGACCTTACTTCTGGTAAGTAAAACAATTGTCCTTGGCCAACGTTTTTGGTTATGGAAATTAATTTCTACCAACTACTAGCCAAAACTCTGAAGTCAATCTGTCTGAAGGGTAAGAAAGAATGAGATTTTATTCACTGATTAATAATGAGGAAACATGTTGTTGGAGGGGGTGGGAGGGGGAGGAAGACAACACCCATCATCTCCTCCATCACCCTGAGCCTTCAGTGTTGACAACACAGCCAAGATACTCACTCCCTACTGCTGGAAGTCTTGTGTCCTGATGTAACTTTTTCTTCCAGTTTCGTTTTCTTGCTTTCGCTGGCTCTGTTTTCATCTTCATTCTGATTAAAGCAAACAAGAAATGCATCCACATTTATATCTTCCCTAAGAGGGGCAATCTTTCACATGAAGAGACTTAATTTAGCAGGTGCTTTGCAGTGTACAGAATAAGGTATGACAGACCACAAAATCATGTCCTACAGCATCTAGTCTGTATCAAATATTTGACCGGACCCTGATATAGGAACGTAAAGAAAAACAAAAGTCTGGCTTCTAAATTACTGATCTGCATAAAAAGTGTAGCAGCTAAGCTGTTCATTTTAGCACAAACATATATTATCACCATGAAATACCAGAAAAAAAATCTGTCAAAGGCTTCAATAAGAGATCAAGAGACATATTTTATGTTGTGGAGCCTAACAGAGGTTAGGCTAAAATGAATGCCAAAAAAAGGTAAAAATCTTGCAGAGATGCTGAAGACTTTAAATTCATAGAATTTAATCCTCAAGTCAAAAGGTGTTGAAGGTAAGTTTCTCAAGCTGCCTTCAGCAGGCACTGCAAGTATCGATACAGTGATTACAATGGAAAATAGGGCCTCGCAGAGTAAGTCATCTGGTGACACAACCCAGATTCAAACCCCAAAGGTTTCGCTTTTGTTACCCCGATGCTGCAGCCCCGAGCCTTGTGGTCAGGGAAGCACACGAGCAAGTAACGTGTAGAAATCACGTTGCAGTTGTGTGGGAAGCACTGGTAAACCTCCCAAGTGGAGGGGTGGGGGGAAACGGGGGTTTTTTTTCTTCAGTTGCCTCAGACAGGCTTGTATCTTCTCCAGCATGCACCAGTAAGCATTAGAGTAATCTGAGGATTTCAGACAATTAACAAGCAGAATGTTTGCTGGGATAAAGCCTAATTTTCATTGGTCTTACCAAAGCTTTCTGGTTTAGGTGTAAGAGCACAGATCTTTAATGCTGTAACTCCCGATGTGTACTGAAAGGCATAACTGGTCAAGGAATGGAAGTCAGGGTACTCAGAGACACTGGAGCACGTGAGCGCGTTCCCATGAACATTAGGATTTATACAGTAACGTGCAAAAAAATAACTAATCACTGTACTGGTCAGAGTTATTCTCATTTTACAAAAAAAGCTCCTACTTTCTCAATTTCCTTATGCAGCGAAAATAGGAATCAGTACAGGAGAAACTTGTGTTTGCAGTTACGTGTCAAGTCTCCTAGACGACACTAATTTCAGTAAGTGGTCAAGTTTACTGAGGTTGCTCAGTAGGAAAACTGGTTCAACTGAAATCATCTATCTCCTCTGAAGAGTCAAATCACTCTCCAAATGATATCATATAATCCTTTGATTCCACAAGTCAACGAAGTGTTACAACCGCTGCCAAATCCCCATCAAAATGAAATTTTCAGAAGGAAATCCGAAGTAGCGCAGCATTTTTGGAATCCCTGAACCAGGACTTCACAGTCCTAACTTCATGGAAACCAGAAACTTAAGAACACTCATTGCATCACTGACTCCATCTGACAGTCACAGGCTCACTCTTACAGACCGTTTTATGTTCTGAGGTTTGTGGAAGCAGTTTGAAATCACACCACCAACTACTTCTTACCATTCCCTCCTCTAAGAGTATTGGCTTCTCTTCAGGTCCCCCACTGACTCCTGTCCATTTTACTGCCCTCAGGCATTCCTGCTTTTTATTTACAGTTGAAAAGATGAAATGCTTTTTTGGAAAAGATTAAATATCATTATGGAAAGATCCCTCTGCTCCCAATAAAGCAGCATCCCCTTGAGATTAGGGTTTCTGCTGCTGCCATGCCCCAGGCCCATTTCTGCCCCATCCCTGGTCCTGACAATATGCAATTGCATGATTCACTGGTTCAAGGAGCTGAAGACTTTTTTTTTTTTTTTTTTTTTTGGATCAGCTGCCCGAGCTGGCCTGCGGTGCCAGAGGGAGCGGAGGCATGCGAGGGCAGGATGTGGTGCTCAGGGGAACAGAAGCTCCACGAGCTCCAGTGCTACCAGTCCTACAGGTGCAACCTTCTCCCCTCCCCTCTTCACTCCAAAAGAAAACCCCAGTAAGAGCACAGTGCTGATCAGCGTGTTCTACACAAAACAGCTCCCCAAAGTCAGCTCAGCTGCTGTCTCACTACAGCGGGGTATGGTCTGGGTTGCTGGGCTACACACACGACACCAGCAGCAACCCGCTAAGGGGCCGAGATAACAGGTAAATCTCTCTCTACAAAATTATCACCTGCTTATGTTTCCTTTTGCCTTTCGTAGAACTTTTGTCAGATGGCTGCTTCTGGGATTCTCTCGCGTGCTTCTCTGGCACATTTTTCTTTTCCACTTTGGGTGCATCAGCATCCTTGTAAGGCTTCCCTGGTATTCGTGATAAGAGGCTCAGGTCAATCTTCACAATAAGTGGGTACCTTTCGTCAGGATCACTGAGTGGTGAAAGAAGCTCTTTCTCTTCCATAGGAGAGAACATTCTTTGCCGAAAAAAGCTGTCATCCTCCTCCATGGAAGATTTAACAGGAGTCCTATTGCTCTCAGAGTATTTGGGTGTTTGTGATGAAGGAGGCAGGCTCTCATTTTCATCTGAATCAGAGGATGAGGTATCTGTTTCTATGAATTCCCTGGATTTCTGGGCAGATTTGCTCGAAGCCTTGTATTTCTTTTTCTCTGTGGTAGGCCGAGGGGAAGATTTGGGCTCTTTCTTTATATTGGGTTTTCTGGAGCCTTTTGTGGCTGCCTTATGCCTGTTTGAAGGTATATTTGTTGCCATGTCTACTGGGGTTTCACTTTCTATTTTAAGACCTCCTCTAGGCTCTTCAACTGCTGTCTTTTCTGCTTTCTTGGGCTGCTTTTTACCTACAGTCCTCCTCTGTGTTGAGCTGTCACTCTGGGCAGGTGATTTCTGCCTGCCACGACTGCTCTCTGAGCCCTTTTGGGTGGGTTTGGAATCTCGCCCCGGGGTAGATGAAATCGAATCCTTGGATCCACTTTGATCAGTGTACCCACTCCCTGTCCCCTGATCCCGGCCCTCTTTTTTGTAGCCTTGGGAAGATGGGATATTGCTGTCCACGGAAGAAGCTGGTGACACTTTATGTGAATTAACTTTGTTCAACCAGTTATCCAGTTGCCACTTGTTTGTTGGTGGTGGCTCTGGCTAAAAACAAATAAAAAACCAGCATTAGATAAAGTATTTCACATTCTTTCCATCTTTTCCACAGGACAGCTGTATTATGCTGCAGGCCAAAGCAACAGGTACACCAAAAAACCTGAGATCAATAATGAATTATATAAATTGATGAATACAGATACAAATAACAGCTCTCATTTTTCCTTCATCAGCAGCAGCTGCTATCAACAGGCAATATTTGCTGCCACAGCTTTCTAGACTAAAAGCCTGCGGTTTTTTAAGGTCCCGTTACCATATCTAACTTCTGCTCTCCAAGAGATAACTGGTGGTTAAAAATCACCTCAAATTCAAACATCAAGTGCACGCTTATACAGAGAATCGTTACCATATCCAATTACAGGTGCTTCAGCAAAAGAACAGTCCATCTTGGAAATGATCCCATGTTTGCCAGTTGATTTTTTAAAAAACACTTTGAGAATTTATTATTCTTTTCTGCTTTTAAAAGGCAGGATTAACGTCCAGCTAATGAAGACGGCCCAAACACATGTCAAATCCTACCTCGGGGGATGCACTCTGTGAGGGTTCGTTAGCTTCACTATCACTGGAACTGCTTTCACTTTCAGAGTCCGATCCTGAACTGCTTTCAGATCCACTGTGGCTGCTCGAGTCATCCCTCGAATTATCTGCTCCTTCACTGTTATGCTGTGAAGGTTCAGAATTACTGAAAACAAAAATGAGGAAAAATAAACAAACACTATCTAAGGCACAAATATATCCGAGAAGTGCTTTCATTAGAAAGAATAAAATCTTTTCATTAACATTTACTAGGAGGTTCAACACAACTGAACACAGTTCACACCCTGGAAGCAAACAGCCCTTGTTTTTTTTTCCCCCCCTCCCAAAGCGGTTAGTGCAATTTGCAGGATATACGGTATTTAATCACTGATTAACTTCTAATCACCTTTTGCTTCAACACAAAAGACAAACATAGAATTTTAGAAACAAGATCAAACCAAGAGTGCTGACTGGGCCAAATATCGCCACTCTACAGAGTCTGCCAGGAATGCCTACCTTCCAGGTGTGCTCCTTGGCACTGTCTTATCACAGTCCTGCAATTAAGAAAAAGAGCATGAAGCTTCTAGAAGTTACTTTGGGATCGTCTATACAATTAAATTGCAAAACATCAATTCAGAGCCTTTAAATTTTTAAAATTATGTAGCCCGAATAGCATCTTAATTCAGTACTTGCAGGAGTTTAAATTTATCTGTGTTTTCCTTAAACAGAAGTGAAAATAAATTCGAGTTTTCACCACAAACCTATTATCTCAGAGTCGTGCACACGCTGACTGCAGCTCTAGGAGTTCCTCCTTCCACCACTCGCTAATACTGCGTTTTCATCTTTTCGAAGCAGACAACTCTACATTTTACAATGCTATTCCTGAGATGCCCAGGGTATTAGGAGTTACCCAACTAAATGCACTCTCTCAAAGTTTTTAATATTAAAAAAAAATAAAAATCAATAACTAGAACTGGGGAGAGGAAGAAAAGCAACGAAAAAAAGGAGCGTGGATGCCTGCTGACAGCACAGACCCTACAGGTATTTTCAATTTCGCACGCTCGACGCTATTTCTGACAGAAGCTGCACAGAGTTAATATTGACAGAGAGGAAAACAGACTTTTGGACAAAGATAAAGGTGCTGCTACACTCCCAGTTACTGTATCCCTTATCAACCCAGATGCAGGCCCAAGCTACTAACGCACAGAGACATTCATGCCACGTACGCTTTAAGCGGAGGGGCAGAACGTGAAGGGCTCTATCTCTAAACGCCAGGCCGCTCCACATGTTTTCAATGACACTACTGCCCCTTCACATGCGGAGAAAGCCCACTTGAAATCAGTAAAACGAGATTTTTCTAGATAAAAGCACACCGTTTTCACAAAGCAGATCATTTTCCCCCCGTTTACCTTTAGGAATACCCAAAGTTTGTCTAAAAACATCCCGTCTGATTTTAGTTTCTGAACCACATACGTCATCTTAAGCTGCTCAGTTTGCTGTTGGAATACTGAGCACTGCTGAAGTACTGAACTACGAATGCATTTTTTACGTTCTTCTCAAACTCTGGTTTAACGGACATACCTGCTCTCCATCGCTGTCTTCACTACTGCTAAGTTTTAAGTCATCTTTCAACATACTAAGTAAAAAGGAGAAAGTGAGACAAGTTTTTCCACGTACTTTAATTACTTTCAAAGCATTCTTCTACATTTCAACATGCTGTTGTTTATACTATGAAGTAGGCTGCGTGGGTGAAATCCACCAAATGCCATTCTAACACTGGTGAGTTAAATCATTCTTTAGAGCAGAATAAGGATTCTAGTACTTTGAGTGCTTAGTCCATTCTGTTAAATTAAGAAAGGAAATTTGACACAATTTACTAACGTGGGAGCAGCTAACTTGTGTACGTTCAGCTTCTTACACACAATGGCCAAGAATACCCTTTTAAACAGAATCAAGAAAGCTAACACCAGTGGCTGTTTCCTGTCTCGTGGCAACAGTGCAACTGTTCTAAGCCATAATTATTTGATTATTATTCAAAGCCATAATTATTTGTGGCAGTCAGGCATACACACACTATTTCACAATACTGAAAATACACGAACACACTGAAAACACAGCAGGGTGCAGGGCCCTTGTGCTTATTGAAAAACACATTTGATTACAAAAAAAAAAAAAAATCAAAACATCTTACTCTGTCTGGTTCGATTCACATCTGGAGAAAGAAAAGGAGAAAGGATTAGAAGTCTAATAATTCCGAGTTTCATAGTATAGCTGTTCTACTGATGACAGCCTCCAGGATCTAGTTCCTGAAATATTTTTCATTTCTATCCTTTTACAAAAGGTGCATTTATCTCAGTTTTTATGCTTTTTGACCAGATTGCAATCACTTCTTAAAAAAAAAAAAAAAAATTATTTATAACTGTATTGTCACAGTAAACATTTTCTCAACTTTCTTCCGATGCATCCCAGTTCAACACATGTCTAGTGCCACCTCTTGTTCTCAGATGTTCTCCCATTCCCCAGCTTGGGAAACAGCACAGCTCCTCCTTGGCGGGCTGTGCCGCTATGACAAAAGGAAAGCCAAGCGGTGAACTTCCATTTCTACCTGCTGCATATGAGCATTGCCTTAAACTACTCATTTGGGGGAAACTGACTGTAAGACTTTCATAATTGCGGGGGTTTTCCTGTTGTTCTCTTCTCCTCCCATAGGTCAGGTGCTTTTTAACCCCGCTAACACCGTAACGTGCACAGACGAGCAGAAGAACTAGACTTCGTTTTGTGATTGCATCACAACAAATGTTAACTTCGAATAACAAGCTTTCAGAATCTACAACCGCTTTCATTTAACATACAATTAGCTGATAAACCTTTATTTTCAGGGACTTACGTGCTTGGAAACAATCTTTTAAGAGCATATAATTGATTTTCGGGTATGAGAAAGGTGGGCTACAGCCATCCAGAATATTCCAGTTGCTTTTTTTTTTTTTTTTTTCCAGTTGCACGACTGACAAAGGAAAACGTTGGGTCTGTGTGCCTAACTAATAGACACGTTTGTCAGTCAGTTAAGAGACTGAGCAAAACAAACTCGAGCAGGTCCCAAACAGAGTTTACTGTCTCCTCCAATACAGAACATTTCCCCATCGTGTCTCTTTGTGCAAGTGCTTCGAGCTGCCTCCAGCTGCCAGCTCTGCAATGCACACGTTTGGGAAGTCCCGTCCCATCCTGCCCATTCTTATACACCAACACCCTCCTGGTTTACAAGTCAGTTCCAAGGTCCAAACCCCTGCACCCCTATCCTGACAACTGACAAGAAACAGGGGAACAGAAAGGCAGCACAGGGTATTTGTGACTCACTCCAATGTGCCATAGTTGTCCGCTGTCCCAGAAAACAGCTGCTTAAAGATGATCCCTTTTTCCTGCCAGTCGAGGAGAAGTATGCTAAAGAGTCTGTGCCAGAACTGACAAATTCTAGTAAAAGAAACAGCTATTTCCCAAGCCTCTTAAAATTCGACTGTTATTTGAGAAACTTTTTCTCAACAGCCACTTACGATTTGGATTGATGACCGTTGGATGTTTTTGATGAAGGATTATATCGTTCTAGAAGAAGAAAAAAAAAAGAAATTCACAATTGAAAACTCAGCCAGAAAAATAAGTCACTCCCCAGTTGCCAGAAGTACAAAGTCTTAGATAAACCAAGAGTGGCTGAGTAGACAGGAGAAAAGTAATAACTAGCTGATGCCAGGTACAATCTCCCACAGGCTGAAGATGTGCATGGATGCAGAGACAAAATACTAAATACAGCAAGAAAACTGGAAAATTATTTAAATCATTTCTGTCTAAACCTATACGCAATTTATCATTAATGGGGTGACAAACTGTTTTGCTTCTATCAAGATTAATCTACTCTATTAACATGCAGGATATAAATCAGCCTGCCAAGCTCTGACTTGTTTCAGCATCCCGATGTAGTTTTTTAGGAAATGAGCAACCTTTAGATCCAGAAATCAAATTCAGAAACCAATTCTTACAATAGAAATACATACTGATACAAACTGCTTTTCAGTTTGTGGGGGGGTTTTCCTTCCCTTTTCTTTAATTCTGGCAGATTGCGTAGCTCAACCGAAACAAGAACTGAGGCTGTTAAAAGTTTCCCAGAAAATTCAAACAGGAGTTAAAAACTGGTTCTGTGTTTTGACTAACCTTGCCTCTTCGTTTACACACCTGAAGACCAGTTGCTCCTATGGTTCAGCATCATGGAATTAAGTTTTAATTTGTTTCCTTAATTCCCCACTGTATCAGCTGTTTAGATTAAGCTGCTTGTGAATATCTAAGAATAAACCGTTCTTCTTTTACTGTTAAGCACTTCAAGAGGGAGAGGAAAGACTTTTGGAAAGTCACAGCACAAATCAAAATAAATTCTACCTGGTATGTTACCTGTGTTAAAGTATTAATTTAAGTAATATCCAAAACAACAATACAGTTATAGAGAAATAAAAGCTGCTTTTGTCTAAAAATCTGAAAATGTGTTCGGGGACAAGAAATTCAAGGATATTGCTATGAGTTCTTGATCACTCTCTTGATTTTAAAATGACAAAGTGAAAACGAACAGTGAAATGGCAATGTGCTTTTTCTGTTGAAATATAAACATAAGCACTATTTTGGTTTCTAAGATGTCCCCCAGCAGGGATTTGGATTTTTTTAAGGGGTGTTTTGTTTTAGTTCTCGGCTATTTTCAATCAGATCAACCAGGAAGGCATTTTTTTTCAAGAATTAGCAACATGACGAACTACAATACATATTTTTTTTCCTAGAAGACAGCAACAGCCTTGCAACTGAATCATAACTTTCTAGAGCTCAACAAGAAACGCAAAAGAAAGAAAGTAATTGTTTTATAGGTTAAAACTTCAGAAAGTACAGAAAAATCTTAGCTTAGACTCTATCCTATAAGCAGTCTGGAAAATCTCCTTCTCTAAAAAGCGTGACATACTAAGAATACTGAATCACAATAAAAACATTAAACACATTACAGGAAGTTTAACATACTTACTCTGTTCTCCAGTGCCAAAACTGGACTGTTGAGACTCCTAAGGGAACAAAAGATCACAAATGTTTTTTTCACTGGGAATTTTAACATATTAAAAACCATGCTTTAAGCAAGATACTCTTTCCACTTAAAGATGGCACCTAACCTCTGAAAAATAAAAAAACCCCAACAGCAAAACAGAAAGAGTGATTCTTTGTCTGGGCCGTAACGGCACAGCCAGCACAGGGAAGGAATGCTCCGCACTCCTCTTCCTCAGCTCAGCTCTCCCACTTGCTTGGTTTTAAGCAAGGCCACGTGCAGCTGTACTACGTGATAGCTGAAACTCCAGAACCCCTACCTGACTTCCATAAACCCTATCTTCATGTACGTTTAACACGGAGAGGGATCTTCAGTATGTTTTTATCTTCCTTACGCACAGAAAAGCTGTGTTGCTAGTTTTATGTATTTTCATTCAAAGTCTTTTCTCTGCCTTTTTTTTTTTTTTTTTTTTTTTCCCCCAGACACACACAGCATCGTGGTGGACAAGCAATGAGTATAGTAACCCATCAGCTCAGCAAAAAAAAAAAAAAAAAATTAAAAAAATCTTTGGTACAAAGGAGCCCAAGAGAAAATGAAACTTAAAATCTGAAGAGATCTGCACACTCTGCCCCAAAACTCCTTCTCGCAGTGGCTCCGGGCGAGTCCCTGGTAAACAGCTGGCCAACACATCACCCCTCCCCAAGGAAGGCCAGATCTGCTCCAAAAGCCAATGAGCAATGCGATGGAATTTCCTTTGATACATAAAGTATCTGTTACCTATAAAGCTAGGCATGAAAGATGAAGCCTTGCAAATTTTAGTGTTTCTATGATCTTCAGTATTCCCATCCCAGAAAACCCAATTCTAACTCCCAAGACATAGTAGATTATAATTTATTTTTTTTTTTAAAGCCTACAATATTATTTTAACAAACAAATACACAGAGGATACCAAGTTACCGAAAACCTACTTCTAGGCTGGAGTGCCATTTTAAAATAGGACCTTCCCGACCTCATTTTAAAATGAGGACAAATGCTGGCCCCATAAATAAAAATTGAAAATATTTGACTCAATTCATAAAGTTATATACACACACATTTTACTTAAATGCTCTGGCAGTGGCAGACCAGAATTACAATTCAACAATGAATTCCAGGTTTTTGGGTGTAACTGTGAACCAGTCTCCACAAACAGCTAAGTCAGTGATGTGCAGCAGTTATATACTCCATTTAGAAAATTTAATTTTTTAATCACACAAAAGCTTTACACAGCAAAGCAGACTTAGATTATTTCCAATCTCCCTTAAATTTATTTCAAATGTGAAAGCAGCTGCAATAATGCACCAAGCAAGTATTTTGTTGATAGGGAACTTGATACGTAACTTTTCTTGTAAGGTGTTTCAAATGCCTCTAACCTTTACTAATTGAAAGAAAGGGACAATAAAAATAAAATTAACTTAGGTTTAAAGTCTAAAGCAAAGATGAAGTTGGAGAGGAGCCTTGTGACTTCAACAGAAAGCAACAGCTACACTTCCTTCAAAATAAAACCTGATTTTTATCTTTTATGTAGGTACGTGGAGCGCAAGCGTGATTCCCTGTCAGCTTAGAGAAGCTGACAAACTGTAAGTCAAAAAAGAAGTGAAGACCACACAGTAATCAAACACCACATCTACAGAGCGACTGCGTCGGGGTGAGCAGAAGATGAGGAACTGGCACCCCTTCTCACCAATCCACTATCCCAAATTGTGCAGAAAGCACCTGCCTCATCGCTCACTTCAGTCAACTTCCTATTTCTAAGGCACAGTGGAGTCTTTCAGCTAAGTGCACTTTAATGAGGTGCTATGTTTAAATGTGCAACTTTTTCCAACTCTCTTGCCATCTATTTTGTCTTTAAATGTGTATTTCTTTAAGAAACTCAGAGATTTAAAAATAAAAAGCTATACTTTCAACTCTGACATTATTTACAGCAGTGTAAGTCTAAAGGTCTCCTGCAGAAAGATGAAATTCAAAACAACTTAAAGGAAGGAAACCCTTTTAACCAAAGTATAATATAGACTGCTGAGGTTAGATAGTGAAGACACTTTAGCAGGAAACAAAATCGCAGCTTGTATTCAAACACAAAAACTGAGAGAGAAAACCACTCTCCAGCAGGACAGAAGGGCAGTTGGGTACCAGCTCTCGTTTGTAGGTTACCAGCTTGGCTGCAGTCCCGGTTGTGGGGATGGGACCCATTTCCACGTAACGTCTGAAATCTCAGGTCAGATCTCATTTTCATTTCTCAGAAGAAAGTTTCTGTATTACAGTGGATCAAGGGACCTGCATCCATAAAACTTCCCCTGACCTATTTTATCATCTGATTCAAAGACTTCCTGATAATTATTAGATATATTTATAGTAATGCAGAGAGGCCCCGGTCAGGAGTTTGTGTTCCTTCAAGCTACTCACTACCTACACACAGGGAAAAATCACCTTATCCCAACAGTCTTACAAACAAAATCAACTGGCCCACCAAAGGGAGCTTAATTTTACGTGTGCAGGCAAAACAAACAGAACTTCTGCACACAAGAGGAGTGCTGTGAAACACTGCAGCAGATCACTTGCAAATAAACTGAGCACAGTATTAAAGAGAACAAGCTTTCCTCGAACAGTACTCCTTGATTAAAGTAAACCACTGTTTTGTTTTGTTTTCTGAATTCTGCTCTGGGTCCAGACTGCACAAGCCTATGGCTCGCTAACTTGTTGGAATTCTGCAAAGATCTTGCTGCCAAGAATGACAGAGGGGAGAAGGCAGAGGAAATTATAGGCTTTGGATGCGGAGAGAGAGTTTGACAAAGTTCCATGGCTAAGATGTGCAGCCACAAAATAAAAAAGCTGGCAAAAAGTCAAAAGACTCAGAGCAGCCATAAATGGAATTTTTTGCAAACTGGGTGAAGAAACACAATCCAGGTTGACAGGTTCCAAAAAAACCACAACCTACCTTTTTTGTTCAAACATCAACAAGACTGTGCAATCTTACATAGTTTCTCTCTGCGTCACAAAGACACGTGTATCTCTGCACACCTTCTTCTTCCCAAACGGAGTCAAATACCAGAGAAATGCAGAAACAAGCAGTTCTACCAACCCCGCAATCAAGTGCGTTCAAAAGCGTGTGAAGGGAAAACATCTCCCCAAAGGTTTGGGAATAACTATTCAAAGCAGCGGAATAAGTACCTTTGTTGAAGAGGAAAGGTGGGGAATTTCTTTCTTTACCATAAAAGGTAAGAATTATTTCCAAGTTCACAGTTTTATATAACACAGCAAACAAACCCTGACTAAAAGCAATATATGCAAGATTAATATTGATCTAATGCTAAGAAAATAGCCGACAAGATTTATTTCTAGATACGCCTTCAAAAGTAAAGCTGAGAACTGTACAGTACGTTCTGCATTTTCAGCTCACTGGAGAGAAGCAAAAGCAAGACACAGTGAGCCCGGAACACGCCGCGCGGAAGGCGATGACAACAGGACTGCCCAGAGCTCCGGGACACCCAGCCAGCAGGAGAACCTGAACCGTCTAACTCTGCACCAGCCCAAGGAGTTCTGTGGATGTGCACTTACAACCCAGGACCTGGAACCTTTGGCCGAAAGAAGGTGATGTCAAAGCACTCACGCAAGACAATCGGTTTAGACAGATTACATTAGAGAGCGCAGTGAGAAAATCTTCTTAAATTACTTCACTGAACTGTTCTGCTTTGGGGAGCAGTTTGGATCAAACGGGAAATTTATAGCAGCAAGTGGTGCTCTAGAAGAGCAGCCTGGTCAGAAAAAAAGTGCTGTTTTAATTATTATGAAGGTAACCTTTAAAAGATGAACAGGGTAATTTCTTCACTTTGAAGTTATGCCAAATTAGGGGTGAAGTACCCCCAATCCGTATCAGAGATATGTGGAGTCTGGAGAAAAATTATACTGTCAAGGTAAACCTTTTACTGGTAATCAGTAGATACAGGAAACAAAATATGAATCCTTGAATGAGTCAGCTATCGCAAGCTGAACCGTATTTGCTAAAGTTGCTACCCACAGCTATCTACCCTGCCTATCTCCTCACTGCCTACCCCTCAGCTTCCAAGATACTGCGGATTGCAAAGCTGTATTTCAAGGCAAACAATCGCCAGTGCCAGTTTGCCTTAAAACCCTGCAGCTGGGGCTGCCAGATCCAGCCTCAGGGGAGGGAGCAAGCAGCTGGGAGCAAGACAACTCCTTCCTCAGAGGTGTCAGCTCAAGCAGGTCTCCTGGAAACGTGCCCTGTGCTGTCAACGGCAGCGAAGAGCGACTGATTTCTCTTTAGAATGAATAGCTTAAACACTTCAGTAGTTACTAAGTACACGGGAGGTTAGGAAGAGGATCTTTCAGAGTAAGTGATCCGAAAATTTCTTTAGCAAAACATCTAATTTTTAAAATTGTTTTCATTTTTTTTTTGTAATTGAAAATGTAAGAGCTAATACAGCTATTAATGGACTTCAAAATTATGAGGAAAAATCAATTTATGCAGAAAAGTACATTTAAATTTCTCAGCATTTACCAGCCAGCCTCCATTACTTTGTCTACTTTGTAGAATTGCTTGGTTCTACACAAAATGGTGCAGAGCTGTTTCCCTCACAGGGAAAAAGGCTCAATGGCATTTTGAAAGCTTCAGAAGTATTCTGTAGAAGGTTTAGATTTATGAAACAAAAATTTTAAAGTAAAAGGAAAGGTACGTTATAGACATCTTCGCAGACTGCTGTGTGTGTGTGTAAACCAGAGGAAAAACGATGCCATTCTTCATAAGGCTACTGCTGACAAATGTTGTTGTGAAGCAAGACAAAGCACCGAAACAATCCCAGAACTATACAGAATTGAATTTAAAAAAAGAGTTTCAAAATCCTGATCTTCAATAGGAGTTACTCTTTCAACAGCATTCAGTATTTGACTACAGCACTGACCTTTGTTGGAAAAGGAAATTTTGACGGTTCAGTTTTGCATGGCGTATGAATAGCAGTCAGTGGAGGAGGCCAAGAATGGCTCATCTCCTATAACCAGAACAAAAAAGGAAAGCTATTAACAAAATTAAAGCAAAGATTTCCAGTTAGTCTTGATTCAAATGGTAACCCTGTCTCTCAATTTTCAGTTCATCGTCCACACTTCCCTAAACTTTCTATTCAAATCTTAATTTCCCAAATGCGTAACAAAGATTTTGCACATAACCCTAAATCTTAAATCGTTACCCACGAGAACAGATAGTGAAGGCATAACAACAAGCAGAAAGGCAGAAATCCATAAAATTGGTTGGCCTGAACATAAACTGCAGTAGAAGTCAGTCTGATCGTTTCAGACTGTGAAGAGCACATGTAGGATACAGGGGTAGAAAGAAGAATCCTAGGAAAGGGAAGCCTATAAAGGGGAAAATCAAATGCCTGAAGCTGGAAAGAAAGTGCCTTGTATTCTCTCAGAGCATCTCCAAGGACCACGGAGTACTGCAGGTCAGAGCAAACGGTAAGCCATGGAAATGCTCAAGGGGAGTCTGATGATTCTTTTGTGATAGTAGACATTCGACCAGGGGAATCACATCGGGGGTAAAAAGACTTGAGAAAATAACCTAGGTAGAAGAGAAGGGAAAGCTCTGCCGTGGGGGTAGCAAAAAAATTACTATAATCTAAAAAGATATTGGAATGTAAGGACTGTATTTTGGTGGAAGAAATGGGTAATTCTGGTTAGGTTAACAGGGAGGTGGCCTAGAAGAACAGGAATGCAGCGAGGATACCCAGGAGATGATGTGCACACCCGGCAACGCCCAGCGCCCAGCTCACACACAGCTGCTTCCAGCCTTCCCCGGTCTGCCCGCGCTAGAGGAGGAACGGAGGAGCCCTCCTGTAACAACTTGCAGCCGAATCAATTTAAAAGGCACTAACCAACTGCAGAGTACTTTCCACCTCCTTAGTAATGTTTGCATTTTCAACAAATAAGTTATGAACAAAAGCACAGAGAACTTACTTTTAGAATTTCATCCACGCAGCTCGCATCACCAGATGCTGATGCCTACAAATCAAAACTCAAGATTAACGTCTCCTAAAGAAAATTTTCCTTATAAGATCCCAGGGGCTAGAAACGGTTAAAAATAAACTTAAACCCTTATCATGATTCATATGGACTCTATACAGGTACAAACAGACCTTGCTAATTCTGTTCAACAACATTAATTTTAATATCGGATAGGTCCGTATTTTTATGGTATGAGTCACATCAAGTTATGAAAAGCAAATACACGAGATCCATAAAACCGCAACAATAATCTCTTACTTTTCACTTGACAGTTAAAGTGATCACAGACAGTCAGTGATATTAAAAACTTGTAGAGAGAGATGAAAGAGAATCTTAGCTTTCAATCATTTCCTGGAAGAAGTCACTGGGTAATATCTGAATTCAAATGCATGACTGTGAATGCACAGTACTGACAAACTCCATTATGAAGTAAAACATACGTTACAGCAGGACTCTAGAAACAGCAATAATTAGGAAACTATGAATCTTCTACATCCCTGACTGCTACAAGCAGGAAGGATGCAAAGCCACTACACGATTCACTGCATCAGCATGTCGAGTCTTCACCAATAAGAAAATAATTAATTTTCTAATTTCCTTACCCGTGTCCTGGATCTTATTTTGCTATTTGCTGAAATCCCAGGAACAAAGGCTCTTCTTCTCTAGCTACCACTATTCAAGCAGTTAAACAGGAGATGCAATGACATTTATTAAGACAGGCACTCTCCTTCTAAGTGAGCTGTAGTCACAGCCTGTGCCTCAACAATCCAAGAATTACCAAACTACTAAAAGTTGTTAACCCAACAGTATTTTGTATCCAGCATAACTGATAAAAGTTCTGAACCCTGTTCAACTTGCTGTGCTTTAGAGTTAGCTTATTTTCCCTAGGTGAAGGCACAATAATCCCATCCAGTTAATTGCTACACACTTCAAAAGAAAATCTGACATATGCAGATAGTATCACTAGTCTAAGACAACGTGGCTCCCAGAAATAACAATATATATATAGCTTGTCAAAATATTTGTGAATATCCTACTATTTCACTAACTTCTGACTACAGAAATAGTCCACAAAAATTAAGTCTCTGTGGGTTAAACTAGCCATTCAATGTCTCATAGCCCATATTTAATAAAAATCACAGTATCCACACAGAAGCAGCAGAAGGAAAAAATAATTACTTTTGCACGTTCCCCGTTTAAAACACAGGTCTTCGCTGCGAAAGTTTAAGATGCTTTCCTTAACAAAAAACCCACAGTGTTTACTAAAAACTAGATTTTGGTTATGTAGATTGGGATTTTAAAGAAGCTGGAAAATCCCAGCCCAAAGGGACTTAGATTTAAGAAGCCAGGAAAGAGAGAGCAACTTACATCTAGTGGCTGGGAAGGTATTTTCAGCTTGGTGAGATGTGCTTTGCTGCTAGGCTTCAGCTCATTCACGCCGCTGCTGTGAGTCTGACTGCTGTAGTGTTCGGAGGATAACTTTGGTTCCATGGACTCCTGTCCATCCATTGGCCTTACGTACGCAGTGGGTTTCTGCAACATTGAACTGGACTTGGACATTAGTGAAGGTGGAAAAGACTGATTAGAGTGTTGTCCACTTGAAAATGAGGGTACACGGGAGGGAGAGTCCCAGTTGGCATCGGGATCCCGGGGAGATTTCGAACGTCGATGTTCTTTGCTGTGGTGATCATTTCCATGAGATCTTGAATGGCTGGAGCTCAACGAAGAAACAGCAGATGGTTTTCCAGGGCTGGAAGAACGGGGTTTGGAGTGTTCAGACCCATGCTGGCTTTTTTTGCGGCTGCTGCTGCTACTGTACGAGTCACGGTCATGCCTCTGGCCACTACTGCTAGTGTTATTGCCACTGCCACGCTGACTACTGTGTCCGCCCTGTAAACCCGAGGACCGTTTCTGAGATTGCGAGGAAGTGCTAGGTGCTGGTCCTACAGGAGTCCATTTGCTGCTCTGGTGAGAGCCAGCATTATGTCTCTGATCACCAAAGAAACTTTGGTTCGATTTTTCATCTGGTGTTGATGGTACGGTTGGCTCGGGAATTCCAACAAGCTTTTGTAGCGATCTATCTCCTATAAGATCCTTCATTTCATCATAATTACCAAGCATGCTCTGAATACGACTAGATAATTTGTCTTCTTTGCTGGTCTGTGAAAATAATTTAAAAAAATAATGCTTTAAAAACCACAACTTCGCTTTCAGTTAATTGACTTGACAACTACTTCAGTTAAGCTAAATTTCAAGACTAAGATCATGGCTAGCATCCATGTCTTTTTTGCCATTTCCCAATTTTAATTTTTAAAGCAGTAATTTAACCTGCTAAAGCATAAAGAAAAGATGTATTTCTGCAGCAGGAACAGTTGAAACAACACTAACCAGTGCTTCAAATGAGCTGGATGCATATTAAACATGGCAGAGGCCTACTGTCACCTTGAAGACTATTTCTCTAATACAGAATGTATTAGTACTAAAAGGTTTTAATTAACAGTAAAATAAAATCAGCTTAACCTCACCACTGTACGTAATTTTTAATTGGTATTTATACGGGCATAATTCTTGTTGCCAACAAGATTATATGTAAGAAAGGGTTCTTTCTTATGTAACCAGTTTGCTTTCAAATCACATGTGCCGTGTCATCCCAGCCAGCTTTAGTTAACTTCATACATGTGGGATTTGGTTATCAAGCACAGTAAAGTGATGGGAGAACAGGAATAAAAAACCCAAAACCATCTCTCAACTTCCCTCCTGCAGGACAGTTTTCAAACACAACATATTTCCTCTCACAAACCAACTTATCTTGAAATTGTGATAAGGGAACAGGTTTGCTTTCAAAGGGAGTTTTGAGCTACATAATGAAAATCTAAAATGGTGTTTTTGTAGCTCTCCCAGAATTAGGTTATTTTTTTCCAGTTCTGTTCAGCAAATCAAACCTGGTAGAAAACCTAGCACAGGTTTAAAGCTGTACAAGACCATAAACAGAGGCAACTCCTTTAAAACAAACAAAAAAAATCAGATACAAATAATTAGCATACTAGTTAAAGCTGACCATTCTATCATACTAGGCATTTCAACATTTAAAATTAACCTTCTATTAAAACATTCTCTTTCTGAACTTACCCAGGTCTGGATTAGATGGATTGAAGGTTAGAAAGTTTAGCAACGGGCTAAAGCACCCAAAAAAAGCAATCTGGCCCGTGTCGTGTTTAACCCCAGCTGGCAACTAAGCACCACACAGGGGCTTGCTCACTCCCCCCCTCCCAGTGGGACAGGGAAGAGAATAAAAAAAAAAAGAAGGGGGGGAAAAAAAAAAAAGTAAAACTCATCGGTTGAGACAACAGTTTAATAGGACAGAAAAGGAAGAAAATAATAATGCCGATGATAATACTAAAATGACAATAATCATAATAAAAGAAATAGAATGTACAAAACAAGTGATGCACAATGCAATTGCTCACCACTCGCCGACTGATGCCCAGTCAGCTCCCAAGCAGCAATCTGCCCTCCTGGCCAGCTCCCCCAGTTTATATACTGGGCATGATGTCATATGGTATGGAATATTCCTTTGGCCAGTTTGGGTCAGCTGGCTGAGTCCCCTCCCAGCTTCTTGTGCCCTTCCAGCTTTCTTGCTGGCAGGGCATGAGAAGCTGAAAAATCCTTGACTTAGTGTAAGCACTACTTAGCAACAACTGAAAACATCAGTGTGTTATCAACATTATTCTCATACTAAACCCAAAACACGGCAGTATCAGCCACTCGCAAGAAAATTAACTCTATCCCAGCTAAAACCAGGACAGCAGGACACAACGGACGGCTTGTTTTGAGCCACTGTAGCAAAAACAGAAGCAAGCCAAACAATTTTATGGTTCTATCATCCTTTTTCTCACTGCCTGCAAAGCAGCCCCTCCTTCGTAAGCATTATTATAAATCTGCCAGTAGAGCTGGTTGTAAGTGCCCGCCCTAATTTTCAAGCCCTGCTTAAATACTTGGTTTGACATAAGAGCTGTGGATCTAAAAGGAATGCAGATAAAACCAAATTTAAAATACGAATTTGCATACAACTTCTGCTATAAAAACTGCGTTTGTAAGAACTGCATAAACTCACAACTTTGTATGGTTCAGCAAAGAGAGGAGAGTTAGGTGGAAAGGCTTCTTCGCCCTGCTGAATTTCTTGATTTCGCCTTTCCCTTTCTTTCATACGCAGCACATTCCGGTCTTCACGGTTCATGTTGCTACGAACAAAAAAATAATTTCTGATCACAGAAGGAAACGAGGAGGGATGCAAGTGCACACAGTTAGCCCCTGTATCTGTTTTGCCAAAAGAATGATCTCGGTTAAGAAGCCCCAGCTGACCAGAACTCCTCAAAACGGAAAAGATGTTTGTCCAGTTTAAGACACCTGACACTCAGAAGAGCTCTAACCCACAATCTACAGCTAGCTGCTGCTTCTGACGGGGAAAGTTTATGCTGTAATAAAAAAAATGAAAAAAAAAATCCACAAAATCCTCAGGCAAGTAAGTATTTCAAACCATTTCACCTGCTTGAATCATTTAGCTATTTCAACCCTTGCTGTACATCTCTCATTCATTTCTAAAGTACTTTTTCTCCTCCACATCCCCCAAGTGTCATTCTGCAATTTTACTCTCTTATCCCCCCATCCAGTCAGTGCCCAACTTCTCCTGTAGATTTGGTGCTGATTCTCCCACATATTCTAACCTCAAGCTTTGATGTTGTTTCCAGGTCTCCCTTCCCCCCCCCGACCCCCAAAAGACACTTCTACTCAAAGAAGTAATTTCAGCAAAGTTCTGGCAATATTGCACCTTTTGCCTTAGACCATACAGTTTTCTCCTACTGCAAAAATGCAGATTAAAAACCTGCCAGTACCCCTCTTACAAATTTTATTCTGCAGTTTGGTCTTGCTGCTTGAGTTAACAGAAATACGTCAAATCGTTGCAACACACACAGGGAAAAAAAAAAAAAAAAGTTTGAAAAGATTCCTTTTGAGCTTGATAAAGCACTGGAACTTAAAGGAGTAAACAACACAGGATGATAAATAAGGTCACACTAACTCTTTTAACATGTACTATCCTTCATATCAAGTGATTTATAAATGTGCCTTACTGATCTGTAAAAACTATGGTAGGTGCTTCCAGGAAAGAAACAGATGTTCTTCCACATAATTTGCAGTCTAAAAGGAAAATGTCATCTGCTTACAAAATCATTATTTCATGTTTTTAGACAGCTGCCTGATTTATTTTTCTAAAAAAAAAAAAAAAAAACCAGCCATTCCACTCTAAACAAGAAGACTTTGACCTATCAGGTTTTTAAATATTAGTCTTTTCCCTTTAATAGTATTTTAGTCTCTTACAGCAATTTCTTAGTCATTTGGCTTCATTTTGTCTACTACTCTGAACACAGTGAAATCTAAGAGGATGGCAAAACCAGCATAAACCCACAATGTATGTTTATATCTTGATGTTTTTGAGGCAACAGGTTTGTTGTATTTCCCTGCACTGTAAACAAGATAAAAGCATTAGTATAATCCAACTTGGTGCTGATAAAGCCTATGAATATGATAACTTCTAAATAACCTGTGAAAAACAACTTTTTTTTCCCCCAGTTACTCTGTGACCAGCTGAACTGCAAGTGAACACCAAGGCTGCCTCGTGGGAGAGGGACCTGTACGCTGGAATGGGGCCAGCAAACTACTTGGATCATTTTGACATAAATGGCAAATCTGTTTCAGAAGTTTGAGGTTTAAAAGCATATTCTTCAGCCTGCAGCCCAAGTTCTTATACGTGTCGGATTTAAATAGAGACAAACATCGGATTTAATTATGGATAGTGATCGGTTCAAGCCAACTGGAACAGTCTAAATCTATGTCATTGTACTATTAAAGGCAAAATGTGAAGCAAGGAATAGGAGTACCCGAGCTTTGAGTAGTTCATTCACATCAATACACTACGATTGTGAATTATATACAGCTACACATTTAGATTATAATCTTAGCCAAGAATTTTACATCTACATTTTATAAATGAGGGTTAAATATTAACACAGACCTTTACTATTTTTTACAGAGACAAGCATCATCTTTCAATATTGTATCAACATTTACTCTAACTCTTGGGACTGAGGAAAAAAAACCAGCATTTGTACCAACACCGTCACATGAAAGGAACATTACAGCAAAGACTAACTTGAGATCAGAGCTGGAGGAAAACCAGAGTTGATCTGGCTATACCTGCCAGGTCAATGTAAAATTAGTCATCAGAAATACACCAGCTAATCACACTTTTTAGCACTCCTCCCCAATCTTTTGTAGTACAGTAACTGATAAACATCTTCAGGGGTAGTCATTCTGACTGCATGCGGACTGGGTTGAAGAGGGTTTTTTAATTCTTTTAAATTTTTTTATTAGTCAATACTCTGAACGCGATTCAAGCTAGACTTGTTTGTATCTAATCTTCTAAGTCTCTACGCAGAGATATTTTAAGTGCCTACAACATGTACTAAGCCATTAAAATCACACTAGCATTAAATGTGTAGATGAAGTTAGTGAGGCTTTCTTAACTCTGTACTTCAGACAACTTTCCAGTCAAATTCCTATCTTTCACAGCCACGAAATGACAGAAGATAAACTTGCCTGTGTTCAGGAGACGTAAGCAGCAGAGGTACTTTGAAAAGCAGAAGATGAAGGCATGCTTACTAAATCAACATTGCCAGCAATTAACCTCAGCATAAAGGAAATTGCAATACTCAGTTTTCAGGCTGCTGGCAATTGTAATAAAACTTTAAACTTCACTATCTAAAATTTACTACTGTGAGCAAAGTTCTGTACTATTTGCTGGTTCTCGGGTTTTTTTTTTCCCCCCAAGCCGGAGCAGACACCCACCCTGTCTCACGCCGGCACAAGAAGCTCCGTTCTCCCCCAGTTTTGGTGCTGACTGGTGGGAAGGATGCTCTGCCCTGCCACTGCAGACACGGTCAGAGCAGCGCGGAGGCGGAGCTGCTTCTCCCACATCCACACTCGCTCCCCAGATTTAAACCTTTGCCCAGACGATAAAACAGCTGGTGCAGCCGAGCTCCTGCCACCCCTACCCCAGCCTCTGGGCCAGAGGACAGCATCTCTGCTCCTCCCTCCCTGCACAACAGGCCTGGAAGCGGAAGATGGAGAACTTCTTGCCTTGTACTTGATGCTCTCAAGAGGATCCTGCCATAATTTCCCTTTCCCTCTTTCCCAGGAGGCCTGAGCGAAAGTGTGAACTCCTAGGAGGGGCAGAGCCAGGCTAAGGGAGACAAAACTAGTGTCCCTGCAGCAAGGACTGAAGTCACCTTAATTTCCACATCTGGAAAAAGAAAAGTTCAAAACTTAAATTCAAAACCAGGCCTAAAGCACGGCATAGTATATCCATTTTTAGGAAGTCTAATTCTAAATGGTTTGAGCCATTATTTGTGCACTGTTAGCCATGCTGTCCCATTAGGATGTGATTTCACTACACAGCTGACTGTTCAAACCTCATGCCTCTTCTCCAGCTCAGTACAAAGAGTTGAAAGAAAGAAGGAAATTCAGCAGGAAGTTCACAGACACTTCTGACACAGAATTCACTTGTGTGTACTCTTTAAGCACTGTTGACTGCTGCCCTGGACATACCGAGCACATGAACTAGTCGCGCGTCACTCGAATCATCCATAACAGGGACACAATTTTCATTTCTCCTTCCAACATCTTACTAAATCCTATTTGGTATTTCTGTTCATCCTTAATCCAAAAAGGGCACGGCTTTGGCTAGAGTTCACTTCAGCTGTCATCATCTTGGACTTTATAACCCGCATTACGAAACTGCAGCGTTGCTGCTGCTGCCTTCTGCTTCCCACCTCCCACCCACTCCGCTCTGGGGCAGGGGGACAGATCCCAGGACGGGGACTTTTGGACCACATTTTGAGTTTAAAAAAAAAAAACAACAAACCCCAACCCAAACCCAACACACCCACGTTGCCAAACTTTTACTGGCAGCACTGTTAAAGGAAAGAGGATCTTGGCCAGCCCCCGGGTAGAGGCATAGGGCTAAGAGCCTACTTCTCACCCTCCTGAACCACATCAGGCACCCAAGAGCCCATCCTCGCTCAAGTTCACCAGCACCCTCACCAGCAGCAGTATCGCTCCATCTCCCCACACACCGTAAGGCAAAACCATCAAAGGTGAAGGTCTGCCCGAGGAATCCTCCACACACAACCCAACAAAAAAACGATCCAAACCCACCACTTTTCAACCAGGCATCAGTGGAGCTTCAAAGCATGTTTACAACACCTTGACTTCCTTCAAGACATCCTCATTTAACTCAAGGGCTTTTTTTTCCATCTGAATTGGTTTCATAAGCAAGAGAAATCAAACAGTTCATTTATCCAGTGCCGGTTAATTGGCTGTGATGAAACACAAATTTTGTTTGACAACATTTGGCCATGAACGATAAACAGTCTTCAGAGAGAACACACAGTATCTAGTGCTTTGTGCAGGGAACACCCAGCTGTGGGAGGCACAGACAACTCAAATATATTTTTTTTTTACCTTTTTTTCTTTTTTTTTTTTAAAAAGGGAGAAAAAAAAAAGCTGGAAATCCTGCTTATAATAAAGAATATTATGTTTTCAGAAAGCATTTAAAAATATCATAAGCTGTCTCAGTGCTGTATCTAACTCCCTCCCAAAGATACCTGTTACTTATTTTCAAATATTTTTCTTACTCATACCATGAAAATAGCAAGGAGCATCTAAGGAGCTGACATGGCATGCTTAACTCACGCATTGAGTATGGCATCAATACTAACCCTGTCACTAGAAATCACGTACACAATCCTAAAACACTATTCTGTCAGCTTTTAATACAAATGCACTCATGAGAGCTGTTAAAAAAGGGAGAAATTAAAAAATAACTGCCCTGCAACATGAAAATTAACACAAACCCACTAACACACAAACCAGGAACGTGCTCTGGTGTCACCAAGAACTATTTAATACTCAATCACATAAAAGTGAATGTGTAGTCTTAACTTCTAGCTTCGTAAGTTATGGTAAAAAAAAAAAAAGCAGGAAAAAAACCCCACCAACATTTCCTATTAAAACGATAGAGCTTTGCAAAAAAGATTCAAACACTAGGCTTCTCCCGATAAAGTTTAAAGGATCAGCACAATGTTGCAAATACAAAAGTACTATGATCAAAGCCATCTTCACAGAG